GGTAGCTTGAGCGCATATCGCATCTGAAGCGCCGCCGAGCGCGAGGTTCGCTGCGGGCGAGAGGTCGCTGCGGGCCAGCGGTCTCAATGCTGGCTGCCATAGCCGCAGGACGTCAAGCGTGAGGCGCTCGAGATGTGCGCCATGTGGCAATGCGCCGCAAGAAGACGAGCGCGGTCCGAACTCGACGCGGCGCGCGCAGCGCCCAATGCTACGGTGGCGGCGGCAAAGTTCCTCGTCTCGTCGCGGCGCCCATTTTGAAAGGTATTGCACTGTCCGGCTATTTATCCGGATGCTTCGAAACGACGTCACGAGCGCGACGCGGTCGAGGCCATCGTCGTACTCCTCGCACAAACGCTCGAGGTTGTCGCTGTCAGCGTTTGTTTCGGCGCGTCGACTATATACCTCACAGCACGTAGACGCCGAACATCAAAGCAATGGCATCTCTCTCATCCGGTACGGCGCCGATGGCTGCGACCAGCGCTGCATCGACGCCAGCAACCACGACCCAATACGGATGCGACTGCTGCGCAAGCCTCTTGCGCGCATGTACGCACTTATACCGAGGTGCTGGTGCAGGTGCTCGATGGATGCGACGCTGCTCAACACGATACTGATACCACCAATCGAGCGTGGTGATCATCGATCCTCGACGACGCAGACCCAAGCCAATTCGCATGCTGCATGAAGACGCTGCGATCTTTGTGTACCTGGCGAGCCAACGCCCTGTAATGCAGGGGTTCCTGGCGAAAGAAGGACTTCGGCCACACGAGTTTCACCGTCCTGCCGTGCGACGCGGTGCCGTGCGGCCTAGACCCTGAGGCCCTGGAGCGCAAATTGCGGAATGAGCAGTGCTCAAGGCTGCTATCCTTCTCTGGTAAAAGCCCTTCGTTTCGCCTTTGGCGTGCTCGCTTTTACACACGACTGAACGTTTGCGCCGAAATGGGACATTCTCCGAGTGCCACTTCATAGGAATGAATTGTTTTTTGCGACCTCTGACAAACGAGGACGCATAAACGCGTTGTGATACTAGATCACTGCGAGTGCGAAAGCCCGAGCATTGTGAGCTACAAGCCTTTCCAAACGCCCCACAGAATGTGCTGGATGTCGTACCTCCGCGAATGTTGCTCGGAATCGCAATCTTGTTCCACTGGAAGGGGAGACCGTCGCTACAAGTGCAGAGGACGACGCCTACGGCGTGCCAATGCAGCCATTTGCATTTGAACGCTTCAAGAGCGCTTTGTATCTGTGGTCGAGCATTGCGCGCGTTTTAGGCCTGCAACGACGACGTATCGCAGTCTGCTCTACTCTCCAAAGTGTCTTTTATCACTGAGCCAACTTTGCGCGATTCCATTTCAAACGTGATGTTGCCGGCAAGCGACGTCGGCGTCCTGGCGTGATGCCGCTAAGATGGCACTAAGCTCTTAGTCTGGAGTGCGTAGCGCCTCTCAGATGGCACTACGATCTCAGTTTGGCGCGCATCTTGGATCGCGTCTCGCTATCGCTGTGCGCCTCGTACGTCGACGCAGCCTCACTTTCGGTACTCTCCAAAGTGTTCTCTACTACTGACTACTGTGCCAAGGCCGGACGATTCGTTTTCGAACGCAAAGTGGTGGATCGCGAGGCCTGGTCATGGATGGGTCGGATATCCGGATAATGTGGCTAATAACACGCAAGCTGTCGCGGGCGTTCCCGATTGCGATTTGATGGCGAGTCAACGTCGGTCAAAATACAAAATGGCTCATACGTCGTAGAGTGATTAAGTTTGCTTTGTATAGCACGGAGCACCAAGTTGCACCGTCGTGCGCGGCCTACAGTGCTCGAAACTTGTGTCCAAAGTGATGCCGAATTGTACTATTTGCGGCATCACGAGGAACTTATTCATGGCATATGCCGTTTTCAAAGAAGGATACGATGGAAAACACAACCGCAGCCTTCATGACAAAATGCATAATATGGTTTGCGTCCTTGCTTTTTCAGGTCTCGTGCAGGGTGAGCTGGAAATCTTTGAGCAGCGCAAGTCGACGCAGCGGACGAGGGGCCACTTTACGTGTAAGCTCGCAAAATTCATTCTGCAGGTACCACCGGCATGAGTGTTTTGCGCGCGTACTTGACGAATTGCCCACGTTTGGCAGCGGATGGAGCGATTCGGAGCGTTCAGATATGGCGATAGGCCCTGTGGAAGCGACAATCGAGTTCAAGACTTTGCGTGTTGGTGTTGCCAGCGTTTTGAGCCCCATTGCGCGCTCTCGAAACGAATTGCCCGAGATTTGCGGTCAATAGCCCAAGATCTACCCGGTAACCCAGTCTACCAAGCAGCGGTACCGCTCAGTCGAGCTAATATGCATGCGGTGGCGTTGATGCGTCCAAGCTGATTGCGATATGAATGCGTGAATT